GGATAATTCCATGGGCAGAGGAGCCTGGTGGTGTACAGTCCATAAGGTTGCAAAGAGTTAGACAGGACTGAAGCAACATAGGACTGGAGCACTCTGCTTCATTAACTACACTAAAACCTTTGACTGTGTGGATCACAAGTAACTGGAAAAATTTTAGTGAGTTGGAAATACCAGACCACCTTTACCTGCCTCCTCAGAAACCTGTATGTAGGTCAAAAAGCAACAGTCAGAACCAGACATGGAACAACAGACTCATTCAGAATTGGGAAAGGAGTCTGTCAAGGATGTGTATTGTCACCCTGCTAATTTAACTTATATGCAGAGTACATCATGCAAAGTGCCGGTCTGGATGAAACACAAGCTAGAATCAAGATTGCTGGGAGAAGTATCAGTAACCTCAGATATGCAGATGACACCACCCTTATGACAGAAAGCGAAGAGGAACTGAATAGCCTCTTGATGAAAGTGAAAGAGGAGAATGAAAAAGCTGATTTAAAACTCAGCATTCTAAGAATGAAGATCCTGGCTTCTGGTCCCATCACTTCATGGCAAATATATAGGGGAAACAATGGAAACTGCGAGAGACTTTATTTTCTTGGGCTCCAAAAACACTGTGAACATTGACTGCAACCATGAAATTGAAAGAGGCTTGTTCCTTGGAAGAAAAGATGTGACTAACCTAGACAGCATGTTTTAAAGCAGAGACATTACTTAAATCAGTCCTTAATATTCATTGGAAGGACAGATTTTCTTTTTTCTTGGGCTCCAAAATCACTGCAACAGATGGGGAGAAAATGCAAACAGTGACAGGTTTTATTTTTTCTTGGACTCCAAAATCACTGTGAATGGTGCTTGCAGCCATGAAATTAAGAGATGCTTGCTCTTACATAAATCATAGCAAGATCTTTTATGACCCACCTCCTAGAATAGTGGAAATAAAAGCAAAAATATATAACTGGTACCTAATTAAACTTAAAAGCTTCTGCACAGCAAAGGAAACTATAAACAAGGTAAAAAGACAGCCCTCAGAATGGAAGAAAATAATCAATATGAAACAACTAACAAAGAATTTCTAAAATATACAGGGAGCTCATACAACTCAATAGCAGAAAAACAAACAACCCAATCAAAGAGTGGGCAAAAGACCTAAACAGGCATTTCTCCAAAAAAGACATACAGATGGCTAATAAACATATGAAGAGGTGCCCAGCATCACTCATTATTAGAGACATGCAAATCAAAACTACAATGAGATATTAGTTCAACCCAACGCTGGAAAAGACCCTGATGCTGGAAAAGACCTTGATGCTGGAAAAGATTGAGGGCAGAAGGAGAAGAGTGTGTTAGAGGGTGACATCACCATCTCAATGCCCATTAGTTTGGGCAAACTCTGGGAGATAGTGAAGGACAGGGAAACCTATTGTACTACAGTCCTTTGGGTCACAGAGAGTTGGACATGACTGAGCAACTGAACGATATCAAGTTCAGTCTACCTTGCAGATAGAAGAGAGATGATTGAAAGTCTGATTTACAAGTACTGGCCTAAAAGAGCTGAGATTAATTATCAAACATTTTTCTAGAATGAGAGGATGCATATTTCGAAGAGCAGAGGCAAGATTGTCAGGATTTTCTTCTGACATTAGAGACAGTATGCATGTACAATGAGAGACCCAAGATGTAAAGTGAGAATCAGGATGATCATGCCCCGGAAGGTAAGGAAAGTATGTTGTAAGACAGTGGAAGTCAACAGTGTAGAAATGTGGCTGAGAGCCTGATGGCAATAAAGGATTACAAAAGATAAAATACAATTTAGCTCAATTATTTGCTGAAATTTTACTCTTTTTCAAGGAAAATAGAGCTATATATTCTCAGTGAAGAATATCTGATTACAGTGTTGTTTAGAGATCATGCTGTTTGTATTTCCTCTGTAATTTTCCTCTCCCCATACTCTTCAATGTCCCAAGAATATCTTTCTTAGTATAAAATGCCCAGTGATACTCCACTTGTTTTAGAAGCTAAAGATTTATTTTGTTTTTAATTTCAACATATCTTTTTAAATAGTTTGAAATGTCCTGGGATAGCAGATACTTAGGTTGGAGCACTTAAAATATTCCAACCTAAACAGACATTTTAATTCTGCAAAGTATTCCTATTATAATTTATTTTATCAGTTCAGTTCAGTTACGCAGTTGTGGCCAAATCTTTGTGATCTCATGGACTGCAGCACTCCAGGTTTCCCTGTCTATCATCAACTCCTGGAGGTTATTTAAACTCACGTCCATCGAGTTGATGATGCCATCTAACCATCTCATCCTCTGTCATCCCCTTCTCCTCCCGCCTTCTATCTCTCCCAGCATTAGGGTCTTTTCCAATGAGTCAGGTCTTTGCATCAAGTGGCCAAAGTATTGGCATTTCAGCTTCAGCATCAGTCCTTTCAATGAATATTTAGGACAGATTTCCTTCAGGGTGGACTGGATGGGTCTCCTTACAGTCCAAGGGACTCTCAAGAGTCTTCTCCAGCACCACAATTCAATAGCATCAGTTCTTTGGCGCTAAGCCTTCTTTATGATCCCACTCTCACATCCATACATGACTACTGGACAAACCATAGCTTTGACTAGATGGACCTTTGTTGGCAAAGTAATGTCTCTGCTTTTTAATATGCTGTCTAGGTTGATCATAGTTTTTCTTCCAGGGAGCAAGCGTCTTTTAATTTCATGGCTGCAGCCACTGTGCACAGTGATTTTGGAGCCCAAGGAAATAAAGTCTGTCACCATTTTCAATGTTTCCCCATCTCTTTGCTATGAAGTGATGGGACCAAATGCCATAATCTTAGTTTATTTTATAGGTTTTTAAAAAAATATCTTTTAGTATATTTTGTAGTTTTTTTCTAATATGTAGAAATATGGTATTATAACTTGGATCAGTTCAGTTCAGTTACTCAGTTGTGTCCAACTCTTTGCAACCCCATGAACTGTAGCACACCAGGCCTCCCTGTCCCTCACCAACTCCTGGAGTTTACCTGAACTCATGTCCATTGAGTCAGTGACGCCATCCAACCATCTCATCCTCTGTTGTCCCCTTCTCCTCCTGCCCTTAATCTTTCCCAGCATCAGGGCCTTGTCCAGTAAGTCAGCTCTTCTCATCAGGTAGCCAAAGTATTGGAGTTTCAGCTTCAACATCAGTCCTTCCAATGAACACCCAGGACTGATCTCCTTTAGGATGGAATGGTTGGATCTCCTTGCAGTCCAAGGGGCTCTCAAGAGTCTTCTTCAGCACCACAGTTGAAAAGCATCAATTGTTCTGCACTCAGCTTTCTTTATACTCCAACTCTGACATTCCATGACTACTGGAAAAACCATAGCCTTGACTAGATGAACCTTTGTTGGCAGTGTAATGTCTCTGCTTTTTAATATGCTGTCTAGATTGGTCATAACTTTCCTTCCAAGAAGTAAGTGTCTTTTAATTTCATGGCTGCAATCACCATCTGCAGTGATTTTGGAGCCCAGAAAAATAAAGTCAGCCACTGTTTCACTGTTTCCTCATCTATTTGCCATGAAGTGATGGGACCGGATGCCATGATCTTAGTTTTCTGAATGTTGAGCTTTAAGCCAACTTTTTCACTCTCCTCTTTCATGAAGAGGCTTTTTAGTTCTTCTTTACTTTCTGCCGTAAGGGTGGTGTCATCTGCATATCTGAGGTTATTGATATTCCTCCTGGCAGTCTTGATTCCAGCTTGTGCTTCTTCCAGCCCAGCGTTTCTCATGATGTACTCTGCATATAAGTTAAGTAAGCAGGGTGACAATATACAGCCTTGACATACTCCTTTTCCTATTTGGAACCAGTCTGTTGTTCCATGTCCAGTTCTAACTGTTGCTCCTGACCTGCATATAGGTTTCTCAAGAGGCAGGTCAGGTGGTTTGGTATTCCTATCTCTTTCAGAATTTTCCACAGTTTATTGTAATCCACACAGTCATAGGCTTTGACATAGTCAATAAAGCAGAAATAGATGTTTTTCTAGAACTCTCTTGCTTTTTTGATGATCCAGTGGATGTTGGCAATTTGATCTCTGGTTCCTCTGCCTTTTCTAAAACCAGCTTGAACATCTGGATGTTCATGGTTCATGTACTGCTGAAACCTGGCTTGGAGAATATTGAGCATTCCTTTAGTAGTGTTTGAGATGAGTGCAGTTGTGCAGTAGTTTGAGCATTCTTTGGCATTGCCTTGCTTAGGGATTGGAATGAAAACTGACCTTTTGCAGTCCTATGGCCCCTGCTGAGTTTCCAAATTTGCTGATATATTGAGTGCAAAACTTTCACAGCATCATCTTTTAGGATTTGAAATAACTCAACTGGAATTCCATCACCTCCACTAGCTTTGTTTGTAGTGATGCTTCCTAGGCCCACTTGACTTCACATTCCAGGATGTCTGGCTCTAGGTCAGTGATCACACCATCATGATTATCTGGGTTGTCAAGATCTTTTTTGTACAGTTCTTCTGTGTATTCTTGCCACCTTTGCTTGGTTGCTGCTGCTAAGTCACTTCAGTCGTGTCCAACTCTGACCCCAGAGACAGCAACCCACCAGGTTCCCGCATTCCTGGCATTCTCCAGGCAAGAAGACTGGAGTGGGTTGCCATTTCCTTCTCCAATGCATGAAAGTGAAAAGTGAAAGTGAAGTCGCTCAGTCGTGTCTGATTCTTAGCAACCCCATGGACTGTAGCCAACCAGGCTCCTCCATCCATGGGATTTTCCAGGCAAGAGTACTGGAGTGGGGTGCCATTGCCTTCTCCATCTGCTTGGTTAGGATGTTTTATATTGAGATTAATGGCTGCAGTGTTAGTAACCACACTAATTTTAAGAAAAATCCTACTAGTGTTTTAATGGGACGAGAATAAGAAGGATAAAATGGGAATGATTTGAAGAAATTTATAGATGTTAGTTGAAACACTTGTTAGTAGTTTCTTCATCGGAGTAACTATTTGTGTTTTGTGCTTTTTAGGAAATCATTTCAAGAAACATACCAATCCAATTCTGAAGAATGGAGATCGTCAAAAGATCTGAGAAGTCATCTTGAAAGTTTAGAATCGGAACTTCAATTTCTAAGTAGACTTACTGGTATCAGTATAAGAAATTACTGCAAGAAGACAGAAGACTTAACTAGCACTGAAATGGCAGAAAAGAGTAAGTTTTTTTCTTTTGGCTGCACCACATGGCTTGCAGAATCTTAATTTTAGTTTTCCAATGAGTGATTGATCCTGGTCTCACAGCAGTGAAAGTGTTGAGTCAACCATTAGACTAGCAGGGCATTTCCAGAGCAAGCATTAATTTCAATCAGCAAGTAGTGTTGAGGTTTACCTTATTATGCATAGAAAATTAGTTTTCTTATCATTGAAATAAATTCTGCATGGTAACGATTTGCATGTGTGGTTATGGTAAACTTGTTTTTCAGGTGTCTATTGAACTTTAGAGTGTGTGTAATATTCTTAAAAGCTGCCTGACATAGATATTAAAGAAGACATAGTCTCTCTTTAAGTACCTGAATAGTCAAGTAACAGAGATAAGTGATTTTAAGGAAAACAGCACTATTAATTTGTACATCTTAGCTGTTGTTCACTACTGACATGAGAACTGTGTCACCTCTCATACTCAGATATTTCAAGAACTGGATCATTTGGCAGAGGAGGGTTTCTGGTCCCAGTGACTAATGTTATATTACTAAGAATCTGTGATACACTAACAAGTAAAGAGAAGCTAATTCAGCTCATAGTTGTATGTTGGGGTCTTTGTTTAGAAGAAGGAATCATTTTATGAAATGCTTCCTGATTTTCCTACAAAAATAACCCTCCTGACTGGAGAGAGGGACAGTGATACTTCGAAGGTCATGAACAACTCACTTCAGTGGAATTACATGTAGAAATGAGTAATGAAATTTAGACACTTCAGGTACTTGAATAGTTGGAATACAGAGAGTATGGAGAGTGAAGTTTTACTGTGCAAAAGTCTGTCTTTCTATTTTGAGTCCCAGGTTTACCCTAGAAGATACTTAAGTGGTGGTGCTCATTCAGAATGCCTGTAAAAATTTTTTAGCTTGTTTATTTCTTTATTTTCGACTACACTGGGTCTTTGTTGCTGCACGTGGGCTTTCTCCAGTTGTGACCAGCAGGGGCTGCTCTCCACTTGCTGTCCATGTGCTTCTCACTGCAGTGGTTTCTCTTGTGGAGCACAGGCTCTAGAGGGCATCAGCTCAGTAGTTGAGGTGCATGGACTTAGTTGCCCTGTGGCATGTGGAATCTTCCTGGACAGGGGTCAAACCTGTGTCCCCTGCGTTGGCAGGTGAATTCTTTACCACTGGACCACTAGAGAATTCCCAGAATGCATTTAGAATGGGCTTGTTTCAGAGCTTTTCCCGTTTCTGGCTTAGATTTCAATTTTCCTGGCTCTGCCAGGTTAGTTTCAATTTTTCACATAATATCTGGCTGATCCATCTGATTTTCAGCTTATAAAATTAGTTTACTCTCATCTTTTTCTCTTTATCCTTGTAGAGTTGTGCCCTTCTGGTAGAAAGGCCAATACAGGGGTAGATTAAGAGGTACAAACTATTAGGTATAAAATAAGCTATAAGGGTATATTGTACCACATGGGGAATATGGCCAATATTTTATAATAACTGTAAAGGAGTATGACCTTTAAATATTGTGAATCACTATATTGTCCACCTGTAACATATATTGTATAGCACCTATACTCCATTTAAAAAAAGAACAAATTGTGTCCTTCTAAAAATAACTTCATTAGAAAAGTATAATAAAGTCAGAATCATGGTTATCTCCTTTCTGAGACATAATGTATAACTTGGAAAAGGCATGAAGGAACTTTATGCGATATGTTGAAATTTCTGTATCTTGATCTTGGTGGTGGTTACTTGAGAAACACATGTAAACATATATATATATATCTCATGCTGTATACTTAAGAATAGGGCATTTTATGAGTTTGAGTGTATTCATGTTATACCGAAAAAGTACTTTTGCTATTTTAGTAAAGTTTTGAGAGTTAACTGAGATAATTGTGTGGATTTAATTTATTGTCTAACTGGAGCCAGACAATGTTGAAAATATGAAAAATATGAACAGTTATCATAATTCAAATTTGTCTAGGGTTATACTATCATATTTCTATTTCATACCTTAATCTTTGGTATCATTGGGAACTAGAAAATACAAGTTATCTTTAATCATATTTCTCAAAGGTGTACATCCTTCCAGGTATTTTCAATGCAAATGCTAACACTCTCACACATAAACCCATGTGTATTATAGATAGCCACACAAAATTAAATAATTGATAGTTAAAGAAAATTGTTACTTGCAAACAAAAATCTTTGTTTTTCTGATTTATAGGTATTAAAAAAGTTTTGCAAAGACACAGATTATCAGGAAATTGCCACATGATTACGTTTCAGCTTGAATTTCAGATTCTGGAAATCCAGGTAAATTAAGGAACATGTTGTGGTAGATAACACAGATTCTGCTGCTATGAAATAAAAATACTCCACACCCCAGTCTTCAGCAGTGGCTGAGTTGAGGAGACATTCCTGAGCCAGGACCCCTTGTAGCATGTTTGTACAAAGTGGTACCATTAAAAAAATTTTTTTCTTTTAAATAAGAATACCCCAGCAACTGCATATGGTAGTATTATTGCTGAGAGCATAGTCTTTATTGAAATAGAGGTAATGAGATGTTTGTGGGATTCCAGTGTGAGCCCTGAGGTCATATGAACAGTCTTGGATGCCCTCGGTAGTCAGCTGATATCTCAGTTATCAGTAATCTGTTAGTTATTTATTGCTGCTTAACATTTTCTCCCAAATTGAACAGTTTAAAACAACAAAGAGCATTTATTATCTCACCATTTTCTTTGAGGCAGGAATTTGTGACTAGCTCAGTTGGTGTTCTTCCCCTGGCCTCTCCTATAATTGTGGTCGTCTGGGACCACCACAATCTGAAGACTGCTCAGGGCTGGAGGATTAGACTTCAGGATGGTCATGGTTATGCCAACAAGTTATACAGGACTACTGAGGCACAACACTGGAGGAAGATACTCTTGGCTAGGATTTTCACATAAAATCAGAAAGCAGAGAGACAGAATGTTAACACGCAACGCCTGGTCAGCATAGGGCAGAACAAGACTCAGACATCTTCAGAGTCTGGCTCCAAGAAGACTTGGATCCAGGCATAATTTTGAGAACTAACCAAGTCTGGGCATGTGCTTTGATAGCAAAAAAACAATGTCAGTCAGTTTGTTTTATGAGTTTGGGCCTATAGGGAGAATGTATAGAGGAAAGAGCAGATAAGGACAGGCAAGTTGCCTTGGCCTCAGTTCATCAGATAACTGAAGTGAATGTAGACCAGTTGTCACAGCCAAGTCATAGGGATAAGCTGCTTGCTTGCATTCACAGTAGTGTGCCCGGATTCCTCATGCTTATCCTCAGCCACAGAAATAGCCTCAAGTTGTGCCTTTTTGTATGCGATAGGAATTGCTGCCGGATATTAGAAGTTACCCCCAACTAGTCATGAGTGATTGGGTCAAGGTATCTGCACTAGAGGTTTTGCCTCTTGAGAACTCTTTGCAGTCTATGTCCCTGGTTGTCACCACTGACCCTGGCAGGCTGAGAACTGACTAGGTCTCTCATCTGATGACAGAGTTTCCAACTTGCTCCCACCTCAGAGTATCTCTCTTTAGTCTGCCCAAGTGACCTAGAACGTCCTCAGTGTGGCATTACCGAAACCAGTTGAGCAGGATGTCAGGTACATGGGTGATGAGTATCCTTTCACTGCTGGCAGTTTGGCACCAGGCCTTGGAGCCTTGCAAAGTTCTTAGGATGATACTATACTTCTGCATGATCTCAAAGATCATCTGCTGAAGACTAGAAAAAAATATGGACCCAATTGAGTTGATCTCGTTTAGGATGAACAGCCCGTACTAGGACTCCAGACTCCTCAGAATTCCTGGATGTTGTCCCATTTTAGAAGGATGCATAGTTGGACCAACTGCCTTTTCTTTCTGGCTAATGTGATCCTAAAATCAGAGTGGTGATATACCAAATGTTTACCTGCATTCTTGCCTCCTTTAATGGCCAGGCCTGTAGATTGTGTCAGGTTGGCAGGATCAGAGCTCTGAGATCTAGCTCCATGTCTTAAAACGTCTGCACTATCAGTGTATACGTGTCCAGAAAACTGCTTAGGGGCATCCTGTTAGGTTGGTGCAAAAGTAATTGCAGTCTTGCATTGTTGAACTTTGCTGTTTGATATTGGAATGCATTCTTAAATAAATATAGTTATGGTGTACATCATTTTAATGTGCATTTCTCACTTTATGTTTCTTTGCTAATTGTTACTTGCTGTTTATTTTATATTTATTTTAGACTATAAAAATGATATTAGACAAAAAGCAAATTTGAGGAGTTTTTTTATTTGAGTTCAAAATGGGTCATAAAGCAGAAGAGACGACTCATAGCATCAAAAACACATTTGGCCCAGGAACTGCTAACGAGCATACAGTGCAGTGGTGGTTCAAGAAGTTTTGCAAAGGAGACGAGAGCCTTGAAAATGAGGAGCCTAGTAGCCGGCCATCAGAGGTTGACAATGACCAACCGAGAGCAGTCATCGAAGTTGACCCTCTTAAAACTAGATGAAAAATTGCCAAAGAGCTCAATGTCAACCGTTCTATGGTCATTTGGCATTCAAAGCAAATTGTAAAGGTGAAGAAGCTCAGTAAGGTAATGCCTCATGAGCTGACCGAAAATTTAAAAAACCGTTGTTCTGTAGTGTTGTCTTAGCTTATTCTGTGCAACAACATTGAACCATTTCTCAACTAGATTGTGATGTGTGATAAAAAGTGGATTTTATACAACAACCACCAGTGACCAGCTCAGTGGTTGGACTGAAAAGAAGCTCCAAAGCACTTCCCAAAGCAAACTTGCACCAGAAAAAAGTCATGGTCACTGTTTGGTGGTCTGCTGCCCATCTGATCAACTCCTGCTTTTTAAATCCCAGCAAAACCATTGCATCAGAGAAATATGCTCAACAAATTAATGACATCCACCAAAAACTGCAACACCTGAAGCCAGTATTGATCAACAGAATGGGTCCAATTCTGCTCCCCAACAATGCCCAAATCTGTGTTGTACAACCAATGCTTCAAAAGTTGAACGAATCAGACTACGAAGTTTTGCCTCATCTGCCATATTCACCTGACCTCTTGCCAACTGACTACTACCTTCTCAAAGCATCTCAGCAACTTTTGGCAGGGAAAATGTTACCATACCCAGCAGGAGGCAGAAAACGCTTTCTAAGAGTTTGTTGAATCCCGAAGCATAAGTTTTTATGCTACAGGAATAAACAAACTTATTTCTCGTTGGTAAAAATGTGCTGATTGTAATGGTTCCTATTTTGATTAATGAAGATGTGTTTGAGCCTAGTTATAACAATTTAAAATTCACAGTCCAAAACTTCAGTTACTTTTCTATCAACCTAATAGTAGCCTTGGGCTTCTACAGGCTTTTTCTTCCATTGTTGTTCATCTTTTTTATAGTCACTCCCTGGGTTATCTGGAGAGAAGCCAGATTGCTGATAAAATTAGGCTCATCCTTGGGAAGTTGTTGTTCAGTCACTCAGTCGTGTCCAACTCTCTGCAACCCCATGGACTGCAGCACGCTAGACTTCCCTGTCCTTCACCATCTCCCGGAGTTTGCTCAAACTCATGTCTGTTGAGTTGGTGATACCATCCAACCATCTCATCCTCTGTCATCCCCTTCTCCTCCTGCCTTCAACCTTTACCAGGATCAGGGTCTTTTCTAATGAGCAGGCTCTTCACCTCAAGTGGCCAACGTATTGGAACTTCAGCTTCAGCATCAGTCCTTCCAATGAATATATCAATGAATATCAGGGTTGATTTCCTTTAGGATTGACGGGTTTGATCCCCTTGCAGTCCAAGGGACATGTATGGGAAGCTGTACATGAGTCCAGTTGGAAAAAAGACCGTACTCTGAAGTTGAGATGAACAACCTACTCAGTGCAGCTGTACATTCCAGGATAGGTTGTGACCAGAAGTTGATCGGTGTGCTCATTAGTGGGGCTTTGGTCTGAGAGATAAAACAGAATAGAATATTTTAATTTCATTTTGTTGAAGTTGCATACTTGTGGTCACTTTGATCCTCTGAAGGAAAGCATCAAGTGGCAGTTTGGTCATATCAGAAGTCAGATCACACTTAAGGTTTCAATTTAGGGACATTTCTTAAAATAACATGGTGTGCTTCTGAAGAATGGCTGTTATTTGACTAGAGGCATTCCTGGCATGAACTGGGACTGCAGTTCCCACAGTGGCTTGACTTGAATGGTCCTGGGTGGCCACCATGAAGTCACATAGAGAGGACCAGAGCCCCGTGGGGCCTGCCATACAGGCCTGCTCCCCATGCTATAGTGGCTACACTCCCTACCTCCTACCAGACAGGAGTGACACCAGCCCAGACCGCACCTCCCGGTCAACAGTACTTTAAGCTAATATTCTGGTCCTCATACTACCAAAGCATGATTGAAAATTTCATAACCATTTTGTAATGGCCTGCAGTTACACTGTTAGCTCATATGCTTAATGAATTAAAATTAGTTGTGCTCCATATAATAGGAAACTTAAAAAAAAAAAGATTCAGAATACTAGAAGTTTATTTTGCTTAAACAAAATTGCAAGATCTGTTTTCAAGGGCTGGTATGGTGGTTTTATGACCCTCAGGCCCTGCCATCACCCACGTGGGTGCTACATTGTGGTGCAGTTATCACTTCAGCATTTCAGACATTGGGAAAGGGCTGGGCAAACAGGGGCTCACCTTTTCCATTGAACAGCATTTTTTAGAAATTGTAATACCCATCATTTTCACCTGCATTCTAATGGCCAATAAATAAATGCAGGGGAGGCTGGAAATTTAGTCTTCATTATGCATGGCCATGTGGCCAATGGACAAATTGGAGCAAGAAAGAAGTCCACATGTTGGGGACTACCAGCAGTTTCTGTCCCATATACTTTAGGGGATGCAGGAAAAAAAAATCTAAGGAGAACAGTTTATATAATTTGAAAGACTTAGAACTCAGTAATCACTGAATCTCTAAAGGGACATAAGTTGTCATTATATATATTTCAAAGTGTGTAGGTGCTTGTGAACTGCTTGGTTTTACCTAATTTGCTACAGAAAGAGCATGCTGTCCCAAGCTATGTTAAGAACACTGTTTCTCTCTATACCTTAAAACTATATCTCTAGTGGAATCACCAGGTTAAAGGAGATGTACATGTAAATTTTGATTGATAGTACCAACTGCCTTCTAAAATACTTTTACCATTTTACATATTGGGCAGATTTTTATAGTTAGACTGATAGAAAAGCAGTGGTAAAGAAATAGCTATATTTTATGTTCTAAAACATTTTTAAAAACAAAATTT